TCCCCCTCGACGTCGTCGTCGAGGTCGTCTGTTGGGGTAGTCCCTCCCTCGTGAATGCTTTCGACGTATCCCTCGGGGGTACTTGCCATGAAACATTCTCGCGAGGGGTGATGGCTTCCCCTGCTGGAGTCAGAGTTGGAGGGCGACTCTGATTCTCCCGTGAGGTCGTGGAAAGATTCCGCGATGTATTCGATCATCCCACGAACTCGTCGTTCGTAGGGGATGGGGGCGTGCGTTGCGCAGACCAAACGGGAGCGCTGTCGGGGCGCTCCAGATGAGGCATTCCGGGGAGAGTGGCTCTCCTCCGGCAAGGTGCGTGATGACATTAGCGAACGAAAAGGTGAGGTGACGCAGGTCCTCCCGGGACGGTTGGGGTCCCAGGAAGGCGCCGAGCTGGCGCTCTAGCCTCCCGTAATCGAAGCCGAGGAGCTAGTCGCTCCCGGGGGCGTGGGCCTCCGGTGCGTGCAGCTGCAACTCCTCAAGCGCCTCGGCGATCGCATCGACGCCGGCGGAGTGGAGAGGCTGGACGGCGGCGGGAACCTGCGTCAACTCTCCCTCCGACGTAACGATGAAGTCCAGGTTCCCGAAGCGCACGTGCGCGCTCGGGACCCAGCTGACGCCGTGACTAACCATCCGAGGCCTGATGTGGACGTCGAGACGAGCAAAAAGCCCTTACCTGCCGCGCCGACTTTCGGTGTTTTCGGACCACCGATGGGTAAATTTGTATTTGCGCGTCTGGCTCGGATGGTGTGCTCGGAAGACATAAGGGTTTATACTGGTTCGGGCGAAACGTCCCTACGTTCAGTTCGCTGCTGCTCGTGTTACCAGCATTTGATTTGTAGTAGGGGTTACAAACAGACGAGAGAGGGAAAAGATCCTAAGTCTCTGGTGGAAGGAGTGAACGGGTGCTGAGAGCTCGATTGCCGCTCAGCCGTGTGCTCGTGTCGTGCTCTTGTGTTTTTATCTCGTGGTCCGCCCTCCTTCATGGGGCGCCCTGCTTCCCTTTTTATAGGCGAAGGGAAAGCGTGGGTTACAGCAGAAGAAAATGAGAACAACGAGAGAGAGAAGAGAGAGAGAAGAAGGCTTCTAGGATTGTCGGGTCCTTCTCCTTCATGCGGGTCATGTCGATCCTGTAGATGTTAACAGGGACGGATCCACGTCGTGGCCCTGTTTGTCACTAGCGCCATGCGCAAGCGTCATATGCCGGTCATGGCGTTCCACTCCGTCTCGGCGGATGTCGTGGTGAACTGACGCGCCTGTCAGCGTCCGTACGAGGATTAGACAGAACAGTACCGGCACACCCGACACTGTTCTTGTTGTGAATCGCCAGGTATGGTCCGTCATGGCCACGGGTTACATCGAGGCATGCCAGCCTCTTTCCTGGTGTCAAAGTTTTGACCAGGCCCATACGCTTGGACTTGGAGTAGTTAGCGGCGGTATGGGTCCCCGGCAGACGAGACGGAACCCGCGTCCTTGGGGTTGGCCGAGACGGAGCACGAACCCTCGGGGTTGGACGAGACGGAGCCCGTGACCTCGGGGTCGGGCGAGACGGAACCCGCACCCGAGGGTCGGTCGAGACGGAGCCCGCACCCGAGGGTCGGGCGAGACGGAACCATCGACCTTGGACGAGATGGAGCCCGCAGCCTTGGGGTCGCTCGAGACCTTTTAATACGTCTCGAGCCATCCGGGGGAGTCAGCGTGGGCGCTAACCTCCTTGCTTTGGGTATCCCTAATAACGATACCTGACAATTAAGTTTGCCCCTTGGAGGAGAATTCGGAGATCCTGGGCACCCCTGTAAATTTTTTCATTGGCTTGCGGTCAAAAATCGGTGCTGGACAGCAGATAGATTATCCAAACATGGTTTACCTCATCCTGCTGCTTGCTTATTGTGTGACCAAGCTGAAGAAAACCATTTAGCATATTTTAGTTTCTTGTACTTTCGCTCGGCAAGTCTGGACCTTGGTCTTGCAAAAACTTGAACTTGCAGCAATTGCACCTGGTATTGAGTATGCCTCGTGCCTCTCCCTTGTTTTTTTCCCTTTTGTTTCTCCCATCTTAATGACATGACATGCAGTCTCCTGCGTCGTTCGAGAAAAAATCTTACTGATATCACTGATTGATAAACAGGGTTAAAAGTCTTTCAAAAGGTGGCAACACAAAAAAGGAGCAGTTTGCTGCACAGTCTGTATCATCTGGCAAGGAATCTACCTACACACCATACCCTATATCATGTGAAGCTGAAGAGACTATGGAGCAGACTCAAGAATTTAGGCCTGTTGATTCTTCTAGGAAAGGTGTTGACAGTTTCACTTCCAATTCTTCCGTGGAACCTGAGAGAAACTCCTATAGTATGATTCCAAGCTATCCACATAGAGGAAAAGAAGAAACTAGTACTAGATCTGGTTTCAATGATAGGGAGAGAGGGGACTTGAAATCTAACCAGGCTGGATTTAATAGTAAAACACAGTCACTTCAGGAATCAATAAATTCACAAGAAGAGGTGAAAGTGACAAAAGTCTCACCGCCCCGGAGAAAAGCTAACAGGGATGAGAAATCAGAAAGGCAGGTCAACTACATGAAAAAAGAAAGTGGACCTGAAATTAGTCGGACTGTTGTTAAGCAGCAACAGCAACATAAACAGCAGCAGCTGCAAAGACCATCATCAACCTCAGCATCACAGGTTTCATCCAAGCAATCTGAAAAGGAAGATATGGAAATAAATGCAATACTTGAGGTGAAATCTTTTTTAATCAGCATGAGATATTGTTTGATCCTGAGTAGAGATGTGATATGAAGTCTTTTATTTTTTGGGTGCATCTTAGGAAGAGGCGCTGATAGCAGCTCACAGAAAGGAAATTGAAAGTACAATGGAGATAGTACGGGAAGTAAGTTCCAGTTAGTTGTATTTGAATTTCATCACATATGTCTGTTTGGTAATAAATGGTTGTCTTACTCTATATTGCTCATCTCTTAGTAAAAAAGTTGCCAGTTCCATATCCTTGTCATTATCTTAGCATTACAGTATGCTGCTAAACATGACATGCATTTTTTTTCAGGAGATGAACCTATTAGCAGAGGTCGATCAGCCAGGTAGTCTTATTGACAACTACGTGGCGCAGCTAAGCTTTCTGTTGTCACGGAAGGCTTCTGGTTTGGTAAGCCTCCAGGCACGCTTGGCACGGTTTCAGCAGCGCCTAAAGGAACAGGAGATTCTTAGCCGTCAAAAAACACTGAGGTAGTTTAATAAAGGAATTCCTTTAATAAACCAAAAAAATTGAAACCTTTAGGTTTGTCATTGATTGCGAGAAGCCCCGGATATTGGAATATTGTATCATGGCCCTCCAACATCACCTTAAAAGAAGGTAAGGGCGGACAGGATCTCACGGTGATTAGGATGGGAGATGGAAATGTGGGCTGATGCAGTGCAGGCATTAATGATTTTTAGGTTTTATGAATCAAGTTTGCCAAATTTTCGTTTCCAGAAAAAGGTGCTTGGGTGTATTTTCTATTGGTGGCATAGGTTTGTCAACGTTTGCCATTTTCGTTTGTAGGGTATAGTTGTAACCGTTGTTTGAATGTCGGTAGTGAAGTGCTGCGGTGAGGAAATAACCGTACCTTGCCTTGCCGTTATAGTGTTGTATTCTTTGTTGATATTTATTTCGCATCAACAAAAGAAAGGCAGCATTTGACAAAGATCTACAGGGTTTGATTTGTACCTTGGGTTGCCCTGTTTATTGCAACTGTAAGTCTGAGATATGCATTTTTTTTTCATACCTTTATTTTTGCTACCTTTTCTCTGATGTGACCATTCTCAATTTATAAAGTAATCAAGGATAGCATTAATTTGCAAGCATGTTTTGGATCCTAAAGCTAACATGCATATCAAGAAAATTAGAAAAACTCAGTCGACTACTTGCTTTACGAATCCTAAGAGCCCCAACCATGTAGGAGGCCCCTATATTTCTGCTGAGGGCTCGAGCACAGATCCGCTGCTGAGATCGTTTCTCCCTTCTGCTCGAGCACGGATACGCCAGAGGTCCTCCACTGCTCTCCCTAGCTCACCGGCGCAGCGTTGCTTGACCGCACCCTGAGCAACGCCTGCGACCGAGGTCCTGTGCTGCCTGTGCCCTGTTCACAGTGGCTGATCCTTGACAACCGCCTCCCTTTGACAAGCAATCTGTTCGTTTGGCTGTGGCTTGTCGTAAACGATCGTAAATTTTCAGTCGGAACAGTATTTTTCTCTCACAAACCAGCCAGCAGTACTTCTTCACGAACCAATAATGATATGAACTAGCCAACCGAACAGGCTAAGAGCGCTCTTCTCCGAGCCTAGGTCCCTCTTCTCCAGGCCTCCTCCCCGGCAAGGTCACCCCAGCCGGCTCCCTCCCCAACTGGCTCCCTCTGCCGATAGTCTTTGGGTTGCGTCAGATCAACTAAGGGGGAGAAGAAAATAAGAGGAAGAGTCTCGTTGACAGGCGGCTCCAATGTGTCAGTGGCTATGGGAGCTTTTGTTTGAGGACTTCTGCTAGAATACATTACAAAACTTTGAACCCAAAAAATAAATAAATAGGGAGAGCCCTCAAATCACAAGTAGAACCTATTTAAAGACTCATGCTAGTGTTGCTTTAAGGCCCTATGCTTTGGATGGCTTCGGCTCTAGCTCCTCTATGCAAATAGCGAGGAGCTATTTTTTCTTTTCATCTCAAAATAAACTAGGAGCCAGTGAGGCCACTATTTTTAGAGCTTGTTCAGTAGAGCTCTAAAAACAGCTTCCATTTTTTTTTATTGAGAAGTGATTCTTTGCTAATTCCTCTAAAGTAAACTAGGGGGTCTAGTAGCTAAAAAAAAGTAGCTTCTGATATACTCCATGCATAGAATCACTATATGCATATAAAGTTTATCTTTGGGAATCATAGATAATCAATTTCAGTTAGAACCACTTATCATAGAGAATCAACTTCTAAGCAGAAAAAACCCTGCCCAACATGCCCTTCACTTCTCACTGGCTCTGGCTCCTCGGTGCGATGTACAAGGAGCTAGAGCCGTGCCAAAGAAGGCCTAAAATTACAGGTAGCGGATCAGCCATTCCAGATACACTCATAACAGGCTCAAGGAAGTAACACTATTGAAAGAATAAATAAAAACATAATAAAACAAAAAGGATTTGAGGCATTACACAAAACTCTACACCGAGGCCGGTCATACAGCCTAACCCGGTGATTGCTCACTTGGTCACAGCTCACAGGATGCTCAAGATCACTGGTATATATATAGTTTCAAGTTAACCCATACGTACCTATCTCTGAGGAATCTCATCGCAATCTAATGCCAGCAGAAAACCTCACTCCACGCATTTATGTCCCGCAAAGGCTCACTGGCAAAACTTAAAAGGTGCCGCTGTGCTCATGCACAATTCCCTTCAACCTATTGCTTGACCATCTCATGGTGCCATTGTGCAACCGGAGAACTTTCAAAATCCTTGCACTCAGTGCTATACCTTTAAGCTGCTGCACCCATTTGTTAAGTACATATTCCAACCAATATCTGAACCTAGCCAAAATGACCTATGATGTCCTCCAAGGTTTATTCAGCCCTCAAACTCAGTATTTCCTTTGCTGTCCTCCTGCGGAAGTAATGCATTTGCTTCTACAAAATGCATCCGATTTTGTTTCAACTTTTGCACATACATCATATCCATTATGGGAAAAATAATAAACAACGTATTACCTGTCCGAAAATGAGGTCCATATCTCTGCTGTAGAAGTCAATGTATTTCAGCATGAACATGCCGCAGTCCCATCTAGGGTGAAACAGGACTCAGTACGTTAGGCAAACTTAAGAACAAGTAGGAATAGGGCTGTAAGAAACTAAATGTTCTCAGGTTGGCAATTGCATGCAAACTTTTTTTAAAGGAATTCATTAACTGCACAAGCAGAAACAAAAGTACAACTATGCTTGCAAGGAACAAAGATGAGAAGTACCCATTCTCCTGCAAAGGAAGGTTTTTGACACCTTCCTGCTTCCATGAGAGCGCATCCATCTGTTGGCCACTTTTGTCTTTGACCTCATCCACAATATACGTGGCCTGGTAAGCATTTGAAAAAAAACATATATAACCAAATAACTGGCCCGGTAGAGATTTTCTTTTAAAAAAAAGAATATATAGAAAACGAAAAATGAGTGAAATTCAATATGGCTTTTCCGCTTGTACATGGGGAGAGCAGAATGAAGCAACACTGATAGAACCTAGAGATAACACTAACCAAGTTCCTCAAGACCTTCATGTCCATGCCACCAAGTGAGTCCAGATACTGAAACTTTTTGTCCCTTATGTTGATGACTGCTAAACACCAATGGACTTCCTTGTGTATGGGAACAAATATCTGGATCATAAGTTTCGGTTAAATGCATACTAAGTTAAACCCTAGTAAGATCTAAACCTGAAGAGAATCCGAAAGTGTTTTACCTTGTCACAGTCAATTAGACTGTACCCTAACTTCCTTTTTGTTGTCCATCTTCTAACAGCTTTATAATCATACCCACTGGAAATCAGCTGATAGACAGTAACAAGAGATGAATTATGAGTTATAATTAACACAACATTGTGATCAAATACAACGCATGTCACTATTGCAACAAAATATGGTAATGAATGCAACAAGACAGATGACAATAATAATAGAAAACAATGAGAATGGCATTAAATGGCAGCTCGTATGCATGCACATGTATGAATCAGCTGAGCTGTTTGGGTTGATATCATATACTCCCTCCATCCCAAATTGTAAGACGTTTGACTTTTTTGACCTCAAGTTTGACCACTCGTCTCATTCAAAAAATCTGTGCAAATATAGTCAAATTTAAGTCATTCTTGAAGAATTTTTATTAATAAACCAAACCACGACGAAAGAAGTGATATTTTACACAAATTTTTGAATAAGACGAGTGGTCAAACTTGATGTCAAAAAAGTCAAACGTCTTACAATTTGGGATGGATTGAATAAATACTAGGAAACAATGCATCAGGTAGTAACTGCATGCATATCTTTCAAACTGATATGATGCGCATTTGATGAGAATGCTAGTTGTTTAGAAGCAAGGAAAAATAAACAAAAAAGAATTGTCCCGCCAAAAGGTAAAACAAGTCCCAACACAAACCTTCTTGTAGAAAAAGGTGTTGAAGAAATGACATTTTAAGAACTTGCGAGGTTCTCTTAGTTCCCTCTCTTTAAGCAGATCAAGATACAAATTGATAACCTGAAAGTAGTAGGAAAAGAAAAGAATAGCAAGAATTTTATACCGATTTTTGAATGCTTAACTCTGCAAAGAGTTACAGAAGCAACAAAATGAAAAATACCTCATCATTTAGCCACTCCTGGTTATTCAAGCACTGAAGGATCTCCCTCGTTATTACAATATTTGAAGGTTCATGTACTGCTAACCTCTCACGGCTGGAAAAGGACCCTTTTAGATACCACTAGCTATGTAGGCATCTGTGCGACTATCACATGACAAAAGAAGATAAGAAGCAAACCTGTTCTTGCCATGAAGAGCCCGACGAACCATTTCTTCATCCTCATCAGTAAGAGGAACAAAAGGTTCAGGCACCTCCTGAAAGGAACATGTTAATACTCGATAACCTTAATGAAAAGAGTGTGTTCAATTCTAAAAACATAGCCGTGTTTGGTGTACCATTAAGTGCAATTCAGTCTCCAGGAACAACATGAATTTCTTTTAATCCATCTATTTTTCAAGGGAATTGCAAAAATCATAGGCTTATATCCCAACAGACTTCGAAAAGAATTCCTCATAACATAGGACGTACCCAGTGCAGAGAGCTCCCGCTCTGTGCGGGGTATGGGGATGGTGTCAGTGGCAAGCCTTACCCTCGCCTGTGCAATGCGAGGAGACCGCGACTTGAACCCGGGACCTTCCGGTCACAGGCAGTAAGACTACCGCTTGCACCAGGCCCGCCCTTCTGAATTCCTCATAACATAACGACCAGAAAATCCTTTAGTAGGTCCCTTTAATCTTTCAGTAACTCGCGAGTAACAAGTGCAAACATTTTTTACAAACAATTATACGAGGCTATGGAAGTACTATCATATATTTAAGATAAATTGTCTCTCAGGGGGACAAAACAACCATGATTGAAGAACTAGTTCTGGAGACAATCACATTCTCAGAGATTCACAAGCATTAACTGCCTATGGTTGGTGCTCCATTATGATCTGAAATGCTAGGTCCTCAAGAGTAGGAAGCACATGCGTTCTGGCTGTTCAGTTCAACATTCAGAACATTCCAATTGTTTTTCCATTCAAGCTCAGTTCAATTCAGTCAATCACCTTGTTCCACACAGTCCTCCCATCACAAAACAATATGAAAGATAAAAAGAAGAATCCAGGAAAGCCATACCTCCTTCTTTGGCGTAATTCGTGGGAGGGCCTCGGCAAGCCGCTCAAGGCCAAGACGGCCCTCCTCGGCGAACCGCACCTCAAACTCGAGCGTCTTGAGCTTGGCGTCCCGCTTCCATCGCGACGCCTCGTACAGCTCCTTGTATAGTGGCACCCTTCTCACTACCACGCTCCCCCTCACCTCCTCCTCGTCCTGCTGCTTCGTCTCCTCTTCATCCTCCTCGATGGCGACTACCTCGAGGGGCACCGCCTCCGCCTCTGCCTGCCTCGTAGCATCGGTTGTGGCGGCGGGAGTGGGCGGCGCCGGGTGTGAGACGCTGTTGACGAGCTCAACGAACTGCTGGAGTCCGAGAGAACGAGGCGGGGGTGATGACGGGGAGAACCACGAGTGGCCGGCGGCGTGGGTCCGTGCGGCCCCCCCAAGCCGGAAGACGCGGAGGTTCCGCTGGGGGGCGTGGATCGGGCGCTGGAATGGCGGCGGCGGAGGGAGTCGGCGCCTGTGCGGAAGCGGGGTGGAAGCGGTGGTGATACAAGAGGAGGAAGGGCCCGGCGTGGAGGAGGTGGATGCCGCGGCGGCGGAGTGGATGATTTGGGGAGAGGGACGGATAGGCGGGACGGTGGAGGTGGAGGGATCGAGTTCAGGGAATGGGGCGAGCTTGGCCCGCTTGGAGGGAGGGGTAAGGGACGGCGGGGGGAAGGAGGGGTAGGGGAGGCGGTGGTCGGCCGAGAGGCAGTGGTCCGCCGAGAGGCGCTTCCGGCTGTCGGTGAGGGCGCCCATCGCCGGCGGCAGTGGAAACCCTAGCGGCGGTGGAGAGCGCCGAGCTAGGGAGGGCGCGCGGGCGGTCTTTCGAGGAAAGAGGAAAGAATGTGATTTATTTTATTTTATTTTATTTTCCTCCTCGCCTTTTTGGTTTTTTTATTTTTATTTTTGCCTTTTTGGTTCATTTCTTTGCGGCAGTGTGTGTATGAGTGTGTCAGTTTAGGGCGGGAAGGAGAACGTTCTGATTAGGATGAACGAACGGTCAGATTGGAGCCAGAGGTAACCAACAGATACCCACTGCGGAACCAAATACAAATGGGTATCTAATATAATACTTATACTCTTTAATAGGGTATCTATATAGAAGACCTATTTTAGGTGTCAAGAGAGGTATAACCTAAATCTGAGTATCTCTCTTTTGAAGACCCATTTACAGAAATGATTATCTTTTAGGTCTTATTGTTGGAGAAGACCAATAGATATTTGAACCATTTGCTCGTAGCACTACCTAAAAGACGAATGAGTCTTGCGATGGATGTGGATCTGTTCTTGGCTAGGAGGATTTCTACGAAGAGCTGCCCAACTGGCGCCAGGGGCGGGGGCATGTTTGTTAAAATTTAGATTACACATCTGTTTGTCAAAAAATCGTTTCAAACATAAAGATTAAACGTACTCTCTCCATCCCAAATAAATACATATATTAATTTATGAGGAGTCAAATCTTTTAAAATTTGACCAAATATTACATAAAAAGTATCAGGGATTATGACGAATAATAAGAATCAATTAGATTGACATGAAATATATTTTCATAATAAGATTATTTGGTGATATAAATGTTGACTAATTTTTATATGGTTAGTCAAATTTGAAAAAGTTTTACTCTCAACAAGTGCGGGACGAACGGAGGGAGTACCAAAAGAAAACTAAATATTGAGTTTCTGGTTAACGGTGGAATCCTTATCCTCACATGGATTGTGATTTAGGCCTTATTTAAATTCAGGGGCTAAAGTTTAGGGGTGTCACACAAAGGTGTCATATGGGAGTATTTGGATAGTAATAATAAAACAAATTACATAAGTCCTCAGTAATCCGCAAGACAAATTTATTAAGCCTAATTAATCTATCATTAGCACATGTGTTACTGTATCACCACATTGTTAAATCATGGACTAATTAGGCTTAAAAAATTCATCTCATAAATTAGTCGCAATTTGTGCAATTAGTTATTTTTTTAGTCTATATTTAATACTCCATGTATGCATCAAACATCCGATATGATACGAACTAAAGTTTAGGAGGAGAAAACGAACAAGGCCCTAGCATGTGGGATCCATTGCAAAAAGTTTTAAATGGGCTTGCAGATTGAAGGAACATGCTCTCATGGCAAAGGTTCCAATGTTCTATCGCGAAGTAAATTTATTATTTTTATTCTTCTAACTTGAAGTCTCAAGGTTTGTTTTGATCCTAACTTTCCTCTGTCTTTCTCCCCTTGCAATGGTTAGATCGAAAGCTAACAATTAGAAAATGTTCTTAGCTCCTCTTTGAGTCATAAGTTGTATGTGTCCTAAGACTCTATTTAGCATGACTCAAATTTCTTGGAATTAGCCATTTCTATCTCTAGGAATTTGTGGATATAGAGTTGTGGGTTGTCGTTTTTTTTCATCCAACTAGTAGTTGATGTACCATGAGCAGCCGCAAATTTATACTGGCTCGATACGGGGTACCATACATTTGTGTAGATGAGGAACTCTATTACATATGCACCATGCGCTATGATTAGTTGTGAATAGGAATTCACAACTGCTGCGCCTCCTTATATAGTCTAGGATATGTCGGGTTACAGATAGAGTCATTAGTTTATAGGTAAGTTTTCTAGTCAGTTACAACAGTGAAGTCGGTTTTCATGTATATCTTGCCTATGCCATGTCTGTCAAGCATATGAGATATTCCGTCCAGTTGGACCTCTTGTGTAGTTAATTGGGTGATCACCTTTCGATTGGATGTATGAAAGTACGAAGTACCCATGTAGTCAACAGTAGCCCTCAAGCCCTATGCGGTTCAGAGAATCGGATAGTCATAAGCCTGAGTGCTTTTTCTGTAATCATACTTCACCATACAACAAAGGAAAAAATGATTCAGTTCACAAGGGAGCTCAAGCAACATGAATGTCATGGCGGATACAATGGAAAGCATGTTGGAGACGCTCACGTCTTTGTATGGCAAGATGGTGAAGGGCAAGAAAGATGAAAGGACCTAACAAGGACATCACTCCGTCACATACAAGCCAAGGAGAGGAGGAGGTCCAGCATGGACGTCCAATTTATCTTTCTCATGGTGGAGTCCTAGTCTAATTGAAGTTGGAGCCCATCTCGGGTTCCAGGACCAGTCTGTCATAAAACTGGTCACACGAGCGCGTCCAGCCTCCGTTTTCGACGATCCACGTATAGATGGAAAGCTAATTAGATAAGGAAGCCAATGCAAGTGGTCTCATGTCAAAAGCCCTTCGGAATCAACAAGAATCATCGAAACAAGTCAGCGTCCAGAATCTGTCGGGGTCCTACGACACCGTCTTTTGGTCCGTTGGACCGTGTATCATGTTTGGGCCCATTAGGGGTGCGTCCAAGGGGGTGACGCCCAAGACTCTATATTATACCGCCGTCACTCTCGTTAGGGTTTTATTTAGTTCTTGATTTTCTTGTGAAACAGACGTCGTTTTGCTGCAACTGTGCCGCTAAGGCCGATTGCTGTGAACGAGGGCCCCTATTCTTGTTCTCCTATGACGATTAGTCCTTTCGAATAAAGGCTTAAACTCTTTCTCGTTATTATAAGCCTCATATTTATTTGCAATTTCATATTGCGTTCATCCTGTTCTTGCTTGTGTTCTCGATTCGCTTGCAGGAAAGTCTTCTTGGCGAGGTCAATCGCGTTCGTGTGGTTGATAACCAACGGAGCTGTGGTGTAACGGTTGCAAGGGTCCGAATCAGTCTTGGTTCAAAGCCTAGATCATGAACGTCAAGTCTCCACCAATCGACGCTATCGTACCTATCGGTAGATCGAGCCTTGTCTATATTAAGTGGTAATAGAGACCTTGTTGCTCGTTAGGTATACTTTTATTTTCCCTTTTAGATTGTTACTGTTTTTGTTTTACCTATAGTCCACAAAAAGCCAAAAAAATATACACCGCCTTATATTCCCTATCCTATAGCCTCATTGTGCCATGCAATTTTATCTCTGTTTCACGTTGTTGAGTTTGTGTCCTAGGGCAAGCTCTGGTTGCTGGTTTTAGATCGTTTTTAGTCCAGTTTGTGTCTTTCCCTTTGTTGTTCATCATAATCCGTGAACACCTTCAAGTCTTGTTGTGTTTCCTTTGTATCCATCAAATCCTAGTCCACGCCATCTAATTTGTTACACTTATCTTCACTGTTTGCATCTATCCATAGCCGCCGCAATAACTTTTGCGCGTATTGTTTCCGTTTTGTCCTCTAATTCGGAGTCAGTTCTCAAAATTGGTCTAGTTTTCGCATACGAACTCGAATTTCGACGTTCCATATATCAAAATCGATCAAAATAAAATTTTGGATCTATTCATCCCCCGCATTGCTGGGTTTGAAATTTTTTATTTTGGCCAAAAACTGGTCACAAGATCCTCTTTTCATGGTCACAAGCTTTTTGTCAATTTTGAGCACGTCTTCTGAATTTTTCACAGGTCACGCCTTTCACTTGCTTGTTTAAGCTCATATTTTCTATGGTTACTTATTTTGTGCTCTTAAGTGAAGAAAAAATATCAAAAAAAAAAGAAAAAGAAAAAGTCAAAGAATCCAAAAAAACAACGACAACCCAAAAATAGAGAAAAAAAGAGGGGCAAAAGTGGAGCAATATCTAGAGGAGCACATAGAGAGCGCCATTTGAGTTGTGTTTGCGTGTGCTGATTTTCACCTTGTTCCTATCATATTCTTGTTGTTCACATCACTTGATACATCTGGTACTTGGAACGTGAATAGGCCAGCAACTAAGACAAGTACTCGGGATACTTATTCAACTTTGCTATTCAGTTGCGACTATTGCTATTCCTTGCTACTATATTGTGCTTGTCCAAGCTCCACTTTCTTCTAACCAAGTACAGGTTCGCCTTGCAACTGTTACACTCAAGCTACAACGGTATCACAGTCATCGACCGATTGCACCACCTGTTGCTTTGGTAAGAACACTTGTAAGACTGTGGTAAGACGCTTGAGAGTTGAGTGCCTTGTTTTTCCTTGTCCACAACCTAAGTAGTTGGTAGAGATAATACTATTTGTGTTGTCTTCTCCTTTCTACTTACCATGTCAGGAAAAGCCGGAGGCAGCAGCAAAGGAAACGAGGACACATCTACAAATTTTAATGACTGTGTTTCCAAGAATGAGCTTCGTGCCATTCTTGATGACAAGCTTAATGAGATCCTTCAACAAATCACCAACTTGGCCAAGAGGATTGAAGATGTTGAACAATGACATCCTAAACCATGTCCTGAAGATGCTGCTGATGATGATCTCAAAGGCGAGGATGCCAAGGAGGATGATGGCAACGCGAAGGCTAAAGCTGAAGCCGAAGCCCGACGTGCTGAGGATGCACGTAACCATAATCAGTTCAACTTTAACAGACGTGGTATGGGAGGTAATAACTAAGGTAATAATGATCCTTTTTCTAAAACCAAGTTTAAGATACCTCCTTTTTCTGGTTCTGCTGATCCTGAAGTATATTTAGATTGGGAGATGGTTGTAGAACAAAAATTTAGCTTCCATCAAGTACCTAAAGAATATAGAGTTAGACTTGTTACTAGTGAGTTTACTAGTTTTGCTCTTTTCTGGTGGAATGATATTTGCAATAATGTTAATGTTAATGCTAATGCTAATGCTAATGCTCAAATACCTCAAACTTGGACTGTACTTAAACGACGAATGAAATCGAGATTTGTTCCTCCATACTATCAGCGTGATCTGCGATTAAAACTGCAACATTTAAATCAAGATAGTACG